CCTAGAAGATGAGGTAAACAGGCTGAAGCAAGTTACATGGGCAATGACCAGAGAAAACACAGCATATGAGGCTGAGAGGCCGAACAGGAAGGAGGGAGATAGGGAATTATGCTAAGGCATATCAACCTGCCAAGGGGGGTGAATGGGGAGAGCAGCTGGGTGCAGGAGAGAGGGGGTTAGGTCAAATGCAAAGGCACAAGCAATGCTACCAAGAGTCACTGGAAAAAACAAGGGAGAAAATGACCATGTACAGACAGGAACCAGAGTCAAAAGAGGGAGAGGCAATGGGGAGGAGGAAATGGCAAAATCAGTGTTTATCCACGGGTTTCAGGAGAGGAGGAAAGGACAACACTGAAAGATGGCAGGCAGAAAGAAAGGAGATTGAAAAACATCATAAGGAAATAGTGAAGAAGACATGGGACGAGATTGTAAATTTTCAGAGAATAGAGGGGTACTTCAAGGGGGGGAGAAAACGACCGATCAAGCTGATTCTCAGGACAGAAACAGTACGGAACAGGATCCTCCAAGAGAAACCGCGGTTGAAATACTCAGAAAAGTACATGAGGGTGTTTTTAGACAGAGACAGAAACCAAACAGAACAACAGCAGCTGAGGGAGAAGACAAAAAAAGCGAAAGGAGCTACGAAAAGAGAAAGGTTGGAACCAGCAGAGGTCAATCAGAGCAGAACAGAGCAGCAAGTGCAAGCACACACAAAAATATCCTCAGAACACCATCCCAACACAAACTACAATCCACACTACATCTTCCACCCAACACCCAGCTATAGAACCCCACAGTAAGCTACCAGGTCTCCCACCCTCACAGGCCCCCCAAAACCCAAACAGTGTTGGAAAGGAAGCTGAAGGTATGGTACACAAACGTGATGGAATAGCAAATAAGTGGGAGGAGTGGCAGGGAAAGAGTCAAAGGGGCATCACCGGACATCATAGCTCTCACAGAAACCAAGCTAACGGGTTTATACAACAGATGCCATATTTCCAACGGGATACCAGATCCTGAGGAAAGACAGAGGTTAACAGGGGGGGGGGAGGAGTGGAAACTTTTTGATCGAAAACCAGTGGAATTTTGATGAGCTGGAGAGAGGAGACAGCAGAGAAGCAAGCGATTACATAGCGAGAACACTTCACTCTGGAGGTCCCAAGGTGGTAATTGCAGTGATGTATAACCCACCACAGAACAGCAGGAGGCCAAGGTAAGAGTATGACGAGAGCAATAGAGCGATGGTTTGACACAAATGGCTGCAGTGGCCCGGAAGAGCTCATGCAATGCAGGGCAAAGCTCCTGATCATGGGCGACTTAACCACAAGGAGATCGCTTGGGAGAAACTTGGAGCCACATGGGGGCCAAGACACATGGAGGGCTAAAAGATGGAGGTAGGTACTGGAAAACTTCATGCACCAACATGTAAGGGACACTACAAGAGAGAGAGGAGAGGATGAACTAACATGGCTGGACTTAGTATTCACCTTGAGTAGTGCAGATATCGAGGACATTACATATAAAAGACCCCTTGGGGCCAGCGATCATGTGGTTTTAAGCTTTGAATACTCAGTAGAGCTACAAGTGGAGGGGAAGCAGGAAGGCCAGGACGAATGAAGCCAAACTACAAGAAAGGGGACTACACAGGAATGAGGAACTTCCTGAACGGGGTTCAGTGGGACAGAGAATTGGCAGGAAGTCAGTTAATGAGATGATGGAATATGTAGCAACAATGTGCAAGGAGGCTGAGGAGAGGTTTATACCCAAGGGTTAAAACCATGGCACCCAAAGGTGTCAGGGAGGCAAAAAAACCCAAATGTGCTAGGGAATGGAAGAAATATAGAAGGCAAAGGACCCAGGAGAATAAGGAGAGCAGTCGTAGAGCCAGAAATGAATATGCACAGAAAAAGAAGGGAGGCCAAACGACAATATGAAAACGACATAGCAGCTAAGCCAATCTGACCCAAACTGTTATACAGCCCCATCAGGAGGAAACAACAGTCAAGGACCCGGTAATCAGGCTAAGGAAGGAAGGAGGAGAGACAACAAGAAATGACCAAGAAGTATGTGAGGAAATCAACAAGAGATTTAAAAAAGTGTTCACAGAGGAGACAGAAGGGGCTCCAGAAAGACAGAGAGGTGGGGCACACCACCAAGTGCTGGACACAGTACACACAACCCAAAGGGAAAAATGTGAAGAGGCTTCTGAGTGAGCTAGATACCTCAAAGGCAAATGGGGCCGGATAACATCTCTCCATGGGTTCCTGAGAGAGGGAGCAGAGGAGCTATGTATACCCCTATCAACGATATTCAATTTCATTATTGAAACAGGGAGATTGCCTGAGGCATGGAAGACAGCAAATGTAGTCCCAATCTTTAAAAAAGGAGACAGACATGAAGCACTAAACTACAGACCAGTGTCACTGACATGTATAGTATGTAAAGTCATGGAGAAGATTATCAGGAGAAGAGTAGTGGAACACCTAGAAAGGAATGATCT